CATACGGGTAGATCGCTCCACGCCTGTTTGACGTGCTGTTCGAGGTTACGCAGTCGGGCACCCAACAGAGCCAGTGTTTCTAACAGCTGATCGATCTGCTCTAGTCTATTCCGGACCGTTGCGGCATCGTCCAGGGGACTAGTCATGGTGAGTGTCTGTCGGAACTGGCTCAACTGGGTTGCGACCCATGCCTGATTTGTTTCGACTTCGTCCACTGCATTCTCTAATGAACGGAACTTTTGCATGAGATCAGCATTGGCGATCTGCGTACACTCAGCGTTGTGCTTTGAACTCCCATTTCTGTTATTGGTGACTGTGGTAATGTTGGTCCCCGTGGTGAGCGGGGGTATGGAATCGGTTGGGACGGAATTTTCCGAGTATTCCGTGATAGGTTCCAATGCGGGAGAGTACCAACACATCGGTGCGTCGGCACAACCCAATTTGGATGATTTAGGTCTACCACGAACGGGACAAGGAGCAATTACCTTGTCATCTGGTTCTGAAAGAATCGCCGGAACGGCCGAATTAGTCGGATCAGTGCATTTCGGCTCTATTGATTCGTCCGGTATATTAGACGTTTGATCGGACACTGGGACAAGTTCACCGTTATTCCGCTCGTCATTTGGGATCTCGGTAGATACTGTGGGATCTTCAGACATGAAGGAAATGTCATCTTGCGTCTGATGTTCAACCCAACCAGACTCAGTCGAATCCTCAGTACTGGTTTTGCATTGTTCGAGTGTTTCACGGCAGTATAGCGGTGGTCCACTGGAAGTGTCCACGGTAGATCTGATTGGTACATCAAGCGAACGAACCATTCGCATACTTGTGTCGGACTCACTGGTCAGTAGATCGATCGGATCAGTTACGACTTGGCGCAGGTTCACGGGAAGTAGTGAAGACGATGTAGTGGATTCTGATGCGGTTGAGCTGTTCGTGAGCGATAAAGAAATAAGAAAAGTAAAACTTTGCACCCAGCAAACTGTCCGATGACTAAATGGCGATGCGAGACAGTTGTTAAAACTTATGTTAGTTCTTACAACGAATTTATAATAATTCTGCCAGGGATAATGAGGATGTTTGTAAACGAACGCAATGCGAAATCTGATAAAAGTGTTTTTAAACATAGTCTTAGACTTCTTCACTGATTACGAAAGTTTTACAACATAAATCATTGCAAAACGCACTCAGCAGTGAACAATTAGCAGACTTCGTGCATCAGTGTGAAAATTGACGGCATTTCCAGGAGTGCACGAGTGCTAACTAGCTGATCTAATCGAATTCAATAATCGGTTGAGATGATCCGGCTGTCTGTGAAGGGTCGAGTGTATGCCGCGACAGTTCGGCCAGTTCTGCTATACGGTGCAGAAACTTGGCCATT